CCCACACACATCCACTCACACACACACCCACTCACACATGCACACAGGCACACACAAGCACACACACCCACTCACACATCCACAGACACACCCCCTCACACACACACCCTCACACACACCTCACACTCCCACACACATCCACTCGCACACACTCCCACTCACACCCACTGACACACACACCCACTCACACACACACCCACACACCCTCTCACACACCCACTCACACACACCACTCACACACACACATGCAGTGAGGAATGCAGTGATGGAGGAATATCGAAAGGACATAGGCGGCCAGGTGTGGTGTCTAACGCCTGTAATTCCAGTACTTTGGGAGGCCAAGGAGGGCGGATCACCTGAGGTCAGGAGCTTGAGACCAGCCTGGCCAACATTGTGAAACTGTTTCTATAAAAAAATACAAAACTTACCCGGGCATGGTAGTGGGCGCCTATAGTCCCAGCTACTTGTGAGGCTGAGGTGGGAGAACTGCTTGAGCCCACGAGGTGGAGGTTGCAGTGAGCCGAGATCACACAAGTGCCCTCCAGCCTGGGAGACAGAGTGAGACCCTGTCTCAAAAAATTAAAAAAGGACACAGGAGCCAACTGCAAGAGCCCCCAATGGTCCAAGATGGAAATTTTGAGCAAGAAAATAAACAGTTGTATTAGATCATAACCAAACATAAGGTACACATCCACAAGTCCATACCATTATAAATAAACGATTACATAAATAAATGCAGGAGAACAGACAAATCCACATCACTTGTGTAGACACTGTCTGTCCAGGAGGTGGCCCCGCTCCCCAACTGGTTCTTCCCAAGAGCTCGGTAAAGAAAGGGGGAACAGTGAGATCCCAGTGGAGAGATCCGACAGACAGGACCCCAGCCAGTTGTCCAAGGTCCACATGAGGAGGCGCTTCACCCCTGTGGTCTTCCTCCTGATCACCTCCCAGGCCCACCAAATCAGCAAAAGATTCCCAACGGGGGGCTGTTAGGGCCACCAAGAATAAGGAGTCTGAGAAACTGTTGCAGCCGAGAGGAGCCTCAGGAAACAAGATGACTAAATGCAACATGTGATCCTGACAGAAAAAAAGACAGAAAAGCCAAGAAAATTGGAATAAAGCATGGGCACTAGTTACTAACGATTCATTGTTTGCAATGGCTGATGTCGATTCATTAATTGCAGTAAATGAGCTGTCCTAACGTAAGAGGCTAATAAGTCAGGAGATGGGGGAGGTGCTCCATGGGAACTGTTGGGACCCTCTCCACAGTTTCTCTGTACATCTAAAACTAGTCTAGAAGGTGAGGGTTGAAAAATTACCTATTGGGTACAACATTCACTATTCGGATGGTAACTACTTAATGGGTTCATTTTGCCCGCTGCCGAGATAGATAGAGCCGATTTATCAAGGTAGGGTAATTACAATAAACTTTTGTTTCGTTTTGTTTGAGACAGGGTCTCACTCTGTCGCCCCGGCTGGAGCGCAGTGGCACGACCTCAGCTCTCTGCAACCTCTGCCTCACAGGTTCAAATGATTCTCCAGCTACAGAGTAGCTGGGACTACAGGCGGGCACCACTGCATCTGGCAATTGTTGTATTTTTAGTAGGGAGAGGCTTTCACCACATTGGTCAGGCTAGTCTCGAACTCGTGACCTCAGGTGATCCACCCACCTTGGCCTCCCAAGGTGCTGGGATTACAGGTGTGAGCCACTGCACCCGGCGTGTTTTGTTTTGTTGTGAGGCAGGGTGTCACTCTCTGAGGTTGGCGTGCAGTGGTACAATCCCAGCTCACTGCACCCTGGACCTCTTGAGCTCAAGTGACCCTCTCGCCACAGCCTCCCTAGTAGCTGGGACCACAGGTGTGTGTCATCACTCCAGCTAATTTTTAAATTTTTTGTACAGACAAGGTCTCTCTATGTTGCGCAGGCTGGTCTTGAATGCCTGGGATCAAGTGATCTGCCCACCTGGGCCTCCCAAAGTGCTGGGATTACAAGTGTGAGTCACCAGGCCCGGCCAGGAAAGATGTTAGTACTCGTAGAGGACACTGGAATTTTATTATTACTCAAATCTGCTGCCCTGAAAATTTGAAGGCTAGGAGTTTTTTTGTTTTGTTTTGTTTTTTAGTTGAGAGTCACTCTGTCGTCCAGGCTAGAGTGCAGTGGCATAATCTCAGCTCACTTCAACCTCCACCTCCCAGGTTCAAGAAATTCTTCTGCCTCAGCCTCCTGAGTAGACAGGGGTACAGGCACCAGCCACCACGCCCAGCCAAGTTTTGTATTTTTACTGCAGACGGGGTTTCACCATGTTGGTCAGGGTAGTCTCGAAGTCCTGACCTCATGATCCATCCGCCTCAGCCTCCCAAAGTGCTGGGATCCCAGGTGTGAACCACCGCACCCAGCAGGATTTTTGAAAATAGTTTGTCGGACAGGGGGCTAGGGAATTGGTGCCGATGACTGGTTGGTTGGTGTACAGCCATCTGGTAGTTAGAAATGCAAAAATCTGAAAAGACATCTCAAAAAGCCAATCTGATAACAGTGATGTGATCTACAGGAGTAGCTGAAGAAGTTACAGATCTCTCAACCTCTGGAACAATGGCTGGTAATCTCTAACGTTTGCAGAATTCAGGCCCCTGTCATCCTCCTAACCTGGTGGGCTTTCATTAATTTTACAAAGGCAGTTTCATCTTGGGAAGGTCTATTATCATTTAAACTATAAATTAAATTTCTCCCAAAGTTAGCTTGGCCCATGCCCAGGAAAGACCAAATGCAGATGGGGTTGGTTGGATCAGATCTCTCACTGGTGTGATTTTGTGACTGTTGTAATTGTTGCAAAGGCGTGATGGGTGATGGGTCCGCTAAAAGTTCAGACTTCACCACCACGAAATATATGCATGTAACAAAGCACCTCTCAATCTATAAAACAAATCAATAAAATGAGTCTAATAAGTTAACGCAAAATGTCAAAAACAAACCAAAGCCTCCTTTCTGCGGGCCTGAGTAAAGCAGCACAGCTGGTGAGAAGCGTGGCGGTTCTGCGGCCCCCATCACTGCACTGCCGCAGGCCCTCGCCCCCAGCCCATTCTTTTCTGTTCTCCGCTTGGCTGCAGCCGCTCTGGCCCCTCCCCAGGAGCTGGAAGTACAAAGCCCTTCCAGGTGGACTCTGGCTCCCCCTTTGTTCCTGGCTCGGCTCGTTCTCATTCCAACGCGCATTGTGCCCTGCTCGCCTGCAGAAGACGAGGCACCCCCACCCTGTCCAGCTGCCTGTCCTCCCAGGAGAACCAGTTACCCAGGGCCGCGTGGCCCCCTACCCAGCCCCTCCCTGGTCCGCAGCTGCCCTAGACTTCAGTGTGCACTGGCTCCAATTCCTAGATCTCCCCCGACAAATGGGAGCATTCCCGCTAGGCCTCCTCCCCTCCCCTCCCTCCAGTTCCCCCTCTCCTCCCCTCTCCCTCCTCCTCAGCTCCTCAGCTCATACTCCAACTCCCAGCCCCAGCTGGGGCCTGAAAGTCCGCCCACTCCCTGGGATACCATAGCGGGAGGGCACAGCTCTCCCTCCATCACCTCTGCCCCAGAGAACAGTTTGCTTCTCACCCAGGAGCCACCCTGGGAGCTCTGGGCTGGGCATATATCACAGCCCTGCTGCACATGCTCGGAAACCCCCTTCGGTGAGTAGAACACAAGGGCCTGGCAGGACAGGCAGAGGCTTGGACAGGGCTGGCGGGGGGACAGCTGCCCAGCCCTCAGCCAGGGGCCTGGGGAGCCCACCCTGCCCCTCCCCAGCAGCTGTTGCCCCTGGGCCAAGCCTGACGTGCCTTGTCAAAACCTGAGAACACTTTGAAGCCTCCGGATGTGAGAGACGACCCAGCCAGGGCTGGAAATCGCTTTGCCTTTGTTCCCTCCCCCCCACCCCCATTCCCTCAACTGCTCAGCAGCCTCAGAAGACACTGTCTGTCACTGGCCACCTGGGTTACAGCCTGTGGCAGAGACCAGAACTCTGGCCTGAGCTCCGCGCCAGGAACTCCAGCCTCAACAGCCTGAACTTCATGCACTGCTCAGAGGCCCAGCTCGCCCTGGCTGGGCAGGGGCAGGTCCCAGGGTGGCTGACGAGGGCAGGGTTTCTGAACCGTCCTCAGGAGCCTCCTGGGACAGAGATCTGGAGGTCAGCAGAGAAAGGGTAGCCCAGGCTGTCGACCCCGCATGGAGGGAAAGCTCAGGGGGAACGCCCTGAGGCTGGGAGGCCACAGCACCATCACGCTGAATCTTGTAGTCTGAAAAGAATTTAGTTGTATGTCCACTGTATGTCCAGGGCACAGACAAGCCCAGAGAAGGGATGAGACAAGGCACAGGGTAATCAGATTTGTGCTTCAGGAGGGTCCCTCTGACTGCTCAGAGAATGCGGTTTGGGGTCTGGCCTAGGGCATGATGGGGAGTTCACAGCCACTATGGGGTCCAGGCCAGCTAGGGGGGCCCTGGCCCAGGGGCTGGCAGGGAGTGCACCCCAGCAGAGTTCAGAGAGGGAACTGCAGGCTGGACTGGCAGAGGGCAGGGAAGAAGGCAGGTGTGGGAAAGGGGTGGCTGCCGGGAGGAGAGCGCAGCCACCCAGGAGGTCAAGAGAGTCAGGTGTGGGGGGCCCGCTGGACCTCCCTTCAGATGTGGGGGCCCCCACCCTGAGGGTCCATGGCAGACACTCTCCAAAGCCCCTCACCCTTCGCTTCTGTCTCCAGTACCCTCCAGCCTGGCCACCTTGCCCTCCTCCTCCTCCAGCTCTGATCTCACAGAAGCAGCAGCAGTCAGGGGTGGTGGCTCCCTCCCGATCCTGCCCCTGGCCTCAGAACCTGCCAGAGGAGAACCTTTCGCCAGCAGTGGCCACTTCCCCAAAGTGCCATTGGCTCCCCTACGTCCTTCTTGAGCCTCTGCTCTCTCACCCTGCCACCCGCACCCCTTGGACAAGCAAGATCTGAAAGTCTTCCCTGCCCTCGGTTCCCAGAGCTAACTGGCCGTGGCCTGCACTCTCCCTCAAAGAGGTCCTACCACAGGTCACTGTCCTCCCGTCGCTGACATCACATACCCACCCTGAGCCCCTGCTAGGCTGAGGCCCTCTGAGCCTACTTCACTGGATCCTTTTCTCTCTTCTTTGAAAGGCCGTGGGGTTTGCCTGCGGTCCAGTTGGGTCCCTCTTCCCCTCTGTCCTGGGTCCTTGAGTGGCCCTGGCTTCTTTAGGTCATCTATGCGTCACTTCTCTAACACCCCTGTCTTCAGACCAGCTTCAGTCCCAGGCTGGGCCAGAGAAGGCCGTAGTGAGAAACTTCTGATGAGCAATGTGACCCTGCCACGTCAAGAGTACCCGCCCACCGCCCCTGGTCGAAGCACAGGTGACACCGCCTGTCTCCCCCAACCACACACACACCTTGAGGCTCCTCCTTCAAGCCTGGGTGGGGACATGGCCCCTCCCTAAGCCAGCAAGCTCAATCTGGCTTGGGCCGGAACTGCTTTTCTTCCTAAAGCTGGCCGGATGGCCGCCGGCTTAGCTTAACGGGATGAGCCATCTGGGGACTGCACTGTCCACGATCAGATCAGGGAGCATGAAGTTGAGGGGGGCACTCTACCTCCCAGGCCAGGACAATGACCCCTTCCTTCCCCACCCCACCCCCAGGCTGCTATTGGCCCTAGAAAATGCTAAACAAGCTGCTGAGCTGGCTCTTGCTGGGGCGGCCTGGGGGGTCCTGGGGAGAGGAAGAGTGGGTGGGTGGGGGCGGCAGCAGGGGCCTCGAAGCTGACGCCTTTGGGGAAGGGTCTGTGCGCCTGCCAGGCACCAGGGGGCAGCCTTGCCGTATTTCTGCTCCAGTCCCCTCAAGTCTGAAGCCCCTACCCACTCACACCACGCACGGGTGGGGGCCGCCAGGGTCATTTACCCAGGCCCCTGGTTTTACTTGGTGACAAAGTCGAGCGTCGCTCCTCAGGCAGCCAGGCTCCCCTCTGCCCCCTGTGGAGACACAGGGGCCTGTCACCTGAAGAGCTGGTTCCGACCTCTAGCTTCCAGGGTACCCGGGAAGCTTTAGCCCCAGTGTGGCAGAGCTGGACAGAGCTGGAGGAAGGGGGACAGCGGGAGGAGAGAGGGAGGGAAGGGGAGGCGGAGGGCTGAGGTGGTCCGGAGGGCGTCTTCCTAGGGCTGGGAGGGGCGGCCGGGAAGCCCGGACCCCGCGGGGGACGCTGGCGACCGCCCCAGGTAGCAGCCATGCTGCCCCCAGCTGGAGCGGCGTCTCCCCCTCGGGAGGAGGGCGGGGAGGCGGTGGGCGGAGTGACAAGGAAGGAGGGGGAGGGGGCCGGCCGGCCGTGGGGGTGGGGCGACAGTGACATCACCAGGAGTCGGTTCTTAAGCGGCGGCCGGCCGGGGACGGGGAAGAGAGGGACAGTCGGAGCGTGGTGGCGAGTCGCTGAGCCCGCCGCGGCCCCGAGAGCGGCTGCAGCCGCCGCGGCCGGGAAGGAGGGGGGAGGCACTCCCGAGCCGCCATCGCCGTCACCGGAGTCGCGGGCGAGCCGGGTAGCCGCCGCGAGCCCCGGCCGGGGCGGGGGGCACGGGCCGCAGGCCCCTCCTCCGGCCGCCGCTTGCAGATCGCGGGCGCCGATGCCGCCGGCGCCCCGCTAGGCTGAGCTTCGGGCCGGGCGAGGAGCCGCCCGAGCCGCCCGAGCCGGGGACAGAAGCCTCGGGAGCCGCCGCCGCCGCCGCCCGGCCGGGCCCCGCCGCCGCCCGCGCGCCCCCGGGTCCCCGACACACATGAGATTCTTCAGGCTCACTTTCAAGTGCTTCGTGGACTGCTTCTGACTGCGCCGCCCGCGCCCCGCACCCCGCCGCCCGCCCGCCGCCCAGTCCCCCGGCCCCCGGCGGGCCCGCGCCCTCGGGGCCCTCCCCGGTGCCGCCGGCGCCCCCGCCCGACCGCCGCCCCCCGCGAGGTGCCACGACCCCGGCCCGGCCTCGCGGCCCGCCGGGGCCATGGCGAAGAAGAGCGCCGAGAACGGCATCTATAGCGTGTCCGGCGACGAGAAGAAGGGCCCCCTCATCGCGCCCGGGCCCGACGGGGCCCCGGCCAAGGGCGACGGCCCCGCGGGCCTGGGGACACCCGGCGGCCGCCTGGCCGTGCCGCCGCGCGAGACCTGGACGCGCCAGATGGACTTCATCATGTCGTGCGTGGGCTTCGCCGTGGGCCTGGGCAACGTGTGGCGCTTCCCCTACCTGTGCTACAAGAACGGCGGAGGTGAGCGCCCCTGCCCGCCGCGGCCCCTTCCCCAAGCCGGACCCCGAACCCCGAACCCCGTCACCCGGGTCCGCCGCGGAGGAGCGAAGTCCAGGAAGCGGGTGGCCCTCCGGCGCGCGGGGGTCGGGGCCGCCCCTTGTCCTCCGCTGCCGCTCGGTGGCCCTGCTGGGCACCTCCACCCCCCTCGCAGTCATGTGCCTGGCAGGGTGGGGGGAGGGGGCCGGCGATGCCCGCGGGGCTGCCCCCTACACTCCCGGGCTAGGAGGAGCGATTGGCCGCCGAGGTGAGAAGGCAGGCCTATGCCTTGGGGTCTCCGCTAGGTAAGGAACCCTGGCTGCCCCCGCAGTTCGGGGACACAAGGGGCACATTGTGTGGGCCCCCCACGTGTGCACACACACGAACACACACACACACACAATGGGCCACTCTGTCCCTCCCTCTGTCCTCCCCTCCCCTTGCGGCCCTCCCGCCCCTCCCCTCTGGCCTGGGCCTGGAACACTGGGTGCCGGAGCCAGGCTTGGGAAGCCTGCGGCCTGGCCGGCCTGGCGCCGCCACTGGACACACTACATGCACGTCCCATGCCCGCCCGCCCGCCAGGGCCCAGCTTAGCAACAGCGATGGGCACGCATGTGTCCTGTGACTACCAAACAGCACTGGGGTTGCTGGAAGCCAAAGTGACCCGGTGATGGGTGGGAAACAAAGGTCCAGAGCAAAGGCGTTTGCCCAAGGTCAAGAGAAGGATGCTGGGACCTGGCATCAGGCAAGTTTCGGCCAAGCTCAGCCTCTGAGTAGTGGAGCGAGCCCAGCCAAGGCAAGGGTAGGAGGCCCAAAGAGGAGGAGGGGGCAGTGGAGCCAGGCTCTCCCTGCTCTTCTGCCAGCCCCACCCCAGCCTGCTGGCCAGGACCTGTGTCTGGCCCTGCCCTGCCTTCCTCCTGCAGAGCCCAACTCCTGGGACTTGCTAAGGCTGGCCTGGTCCCTCTTCCCACACCTGTCTCCCTCTGTCCTTGCACATTGCCACCCCACCAGCAGGGGACTTCGACCCACCCACCCTCTGCCTTGGACCTCACACTTGCAGGCAAGCGTCCAAGTGCAGGACGGTTGCACTTCCTGCCTTTGGACGAGCCCCCCAGGCCTGAGCACGTAGCCTTGGCGCACGCACACACGCACACACACACACACACAGGCACGTGCCCTCACTGTGCTGCCTGAAACGGGGAACTGCAGCACTAGGGACAGTCTGCGTGTCTCCGTCTGTGTGTCCTCCATGGCCATCACTCCAAGTGACCGTGGGGGTGGAAGCCCTGTGGGCCTAGGGTCCCTCTGCCACCCAGGGAATCGGGCTCCAATGGCTCAGAGCTACCGTAGCCCCACTTCAACACACTCAACCCACCCTGGCAAGACTCCACCCTGGGCCTGAGTCAGTGGCCGCCCCTACACTGACTCACCCAGTGGGAAGTTGTGATGGGGCCTTTGGAGTCTGGGCAGCCTACCCTGTGCCTCCACCCCCAGGTGTGTTCCTTATTCCCTACGTCCTGATCGCCCTGGTCGGAGGAATCCCCATTTTCTTCCTGGAGATCTCGCTGGGCCAGTTCATGAAGGCCGGCAGCATCAATGTCTGGAACATCTGTCCCCTGTTCAAAGGTGAGCAGCCCTTGGCCAGCCTCAGGGATTCCCCCACTTTTCCCAGCTGGCTCCCATTTGAGAAATCTTCCTGTCCTGAACACCAGGCCTGGGGCCACGTGATGGCGCCCAGTCTCAAGGGGGAGGCTGGAGATGTGCAGGCCACACAGTGAACTTTGGGAAGCAGGGACTAGAGGGGCCATAGGCAGCTCCACAAGGCAAGGATGGGCCAGGCATAGCTGGGCTGGGGACGAGACCCGCCCAGCACACTTGGCACTAGGTGGGTGGGTCCCACTATTATCCCCAAGGACACTGGGGCACGGACAGGTGGAGCGACTTACTGAGGCTGCCCACTACAGAGGCAACTGTCTCCAACACTACCTCAGGTTACTAGAAACCCCCCAGCTGATGTGCACTGGAGGCTACCGGGGGGCCAGGTGGAGGCTTGGGCCTCCTGGAACCCATGGTGGCAGTGGGACCCACAGACGGGGCCAGGTGTATGAGGCTGGAGACTCAACAGCACTTGGTCAGATGGGGCAGGAGGCGAGGGGCTCACTCTGCCTTGGGTCTGGGGGCGGCTGGAGGAGAGGAGACAGGCTAGGGAGTCAGCCCTGTGTTGGGGCTCACACAAGGGGGAGTCCAGGGGGGTCGGGAGCACCACAGAGAAGGCTCCGGAAGGACAGACAGGGGGAGCACAGCCAGCCTCAGTGGGGAGACAGGTGGCCAGGAAAGAATCCACATGGCAAGGACTTCCCGGCCACAGGCCTGGGCTATGCCTCCATGGTGATCGTCTTCTACTGCAACACCTACTACATCATGGTGCTGGCCTGGGGCTTCTATTACCTGGTCAAGTCCTTCAGCA